GAGAGGTTTCAAACCCTTTATGTTATCTGGGGTGGGGGTGGGGTTTGGGAGAGGTTCATACCCTTTATGTTATCTGGGGTGGGGATGGGGTTTGGGAGAGGTTCATACCCTTTATGTTATCTGGGGTGGGGGAAGGGGTTCATACCCTTTATGTTATCTGGGGTGGGGTTTGGGAGAGGTTCATGCCTTTTATGTTATCTGGGGTGTGGATGGGTTGGGGGAGAGGCTTTATATTGTGTTATGTACAATTTAATATCCATAAAAAATTCAGTCGAAATTATTACTTCTGGACAAGTGCTGTATACCTGAACATTTTCGCTGCAGTTTAATTTTCCATTTTTTTCTTTCCATATTGAGACGGAATTGTCATCATTACTGAAGGACGAAATTATTAGTGGGCAAATATGGATTTTACCAGTGAAGGGCGAAAGTTTGACTGGGTGAACATTTCTCAGTGTACAGTAATCTTTTAAAGGAATGAAGCAGATGATAGTGCATTCAGCTTTCACTAAGAAGGCCAGGGTTCAGTACTCCGACAGGATGTGTAAAGGTATGGAGACACCTGTCTGACACTCTGGGGAATCTGGTTTCCTCCCACAATAAGACCCTTGCATGCTTCCATCCAGGCCAACACAGATGAGTAATATAAGTTATTAAACTTGTTTCACAATTGTTGTGAAATAAATACCCTATGTTTTTTTATATAATTTGCATAGAATGTTTTCATACTCGCAATAAAAACTGTCAAAGACAACAGGTGAGGCCTGCTCTAATGTAATGTCATTGAAGACCTTCATACAAACCGTGTGTCATTCTCCGTGGGCTTGTGAAGACAGTTCCCTATGCCCCTGTTACTGGTACACAAAATCAGTCTGTGATCATATTAATACCAGTGCTGAACACAAATTTATTATAAAAGAGGCTAACATATTCTACATTCTTTTTTTCATGGTATATGGAAGACAGAAAACTGAGTCATATACGATCTCTTATGACCTTGAATGTCACCTGCTAACATCAGGTAGCGCAAACAAGGTAATCTGGTTATATAAACCAACATTTTCTGTGCATATATGACATTTCATATATGATGTTTCGTGTTGAAATTTGAATTAGAATATCAAATGAGGGTGACATCTGATTATTAAGATTCCTAGTGATAAAACAGGCACTACTTGTTTTGTTAGTAGAATAGACTGATCAGTGGTGTAAATATTCAATAATTAGGTTAACACATGTAATTTTACTAAACACAACACATATCAGATAACCAATTCTTTTAAACAGAGTTGAATATATAGAGATATCATGGGTTAAAAACACATTTCTCTCATTTAAGGTAGAGAGAGTTCACCACATTTCTTCTGTATTTTGCCTGGGTTTTTTTTATGTTATTTCCAGTGTCATAAATTGCAGGCTTTTTAGGGAAATCATTTTCAGATGATGCAGTAAATATTGCCCAAATATGATGACCGGTAGTGCAGTAGATTTGTTTTGTTTGAGTGGTTTTACGCCCGCTTCACTACCGAGTAGTTTGGTTATCCAGCAGACGAAGTAAAGATAGGAAAATGAGTAGAATGGGTCAAGTATGTAGTGAAGGGTTAGAAAAGGATGTGAGAGTCAGTGGATAATGTCTCTCTGCTTTAATAATCAAGAAATCTACCGATCAAATCCCTGCAGTGGAGGTGTTTTTGGCAAAGAAAAACACAGCCAATAATTGTTATAATGTTTCTTTCTGAACTCTTTGATATGGTAAATTGGGAAGAAATTTCAAGCCAGAAAAATGCCTAACAAGTTGGAACTCTTTTTGTTTTGTCGGAGATGCCACATTGAATGCTGGGACTTTCTACATTAAGTGTATATAATAAACATACATGCATAAATTCCTAGGAGAAAGTACATTTTGTTAGTAAGAAACTTTCACAACACAAACTAACGCGGCACTTTAATTTGATATGTTTATAATATTGTAGTTAGATGAGAAGTTAAAAACCTCTGATTTATGAAAAAGTCACAAACTTTTAAACAAAAAATATTTGCATTTCTTTTCCAACAATTATAAAGACCACCAAAAATACATGCTATAAGGTATATTAATTTTTTTACCAAAATACTGGGTAAAAATTGGGAGAAAAAGGTGAAAGAATGGACTTCATTAGTTATATCAGTACAGTGAGTATTTGCTACTTATATTCCGACATCAAAATATACTTACGGCATAACGAGTAGATCTTTTTCTTCCTCCATCAGTTGCTTCTCAGCGTAGTCTTTGTCATGGAATATGGGTAACTTCCTCAGCTCAGGGATCATGTAATTTGATTCTGGCTCATACACTGTCAGAAACAATGAAAGCCGAAACGGTAAAGCTAAACACTGTTTACATAGTCAGAATTTCACTAATAAAACCCTTGCCCCTTTACATATTTGAAGCATATTGCTTACTAATAAAATAATTTATCACCATATCTACAAATTCATCCTGTTCAATTGATATAAATTTTAAATCTGGTATACAAAAACAAAATTTCTTTCTTGAGTACATAGACTTAAGCATTTTTTATAAAATGACAACCTTGTCGGTAAATTTGGTTTGAAACGAGAATGCATTTTTCCATGCAACCTCTTACAAAGATTGACCATTTATATACTGTGACTCATTGATTCTCACAGCAGCATTATAAAATGTTCCTATTGTTGGGAGCTACTGGTAGGCTAATTGCTAGCATGATCTAGTGGATATCTAGCAGTGAATTTATATACATGTACAGGTATGAGGAATTGTTCTTGTATTTTTATAAACTTCCCTTTAAGCTTTTCACAAGGCCACAAATAGGTTAAACATTCTTGTTCATAACTACATTCTTAATGGGTTAATTCGGAACAAAATATCTAATTAATTTCTATGATAGTATACCTTAAAGGGGCTGGTCAGGGAAAAAATGTCATATTTGCTAAAATGGCATACACATGTTTAAAATACCTTCTTATGAAAAATTCCGATTCAAATTTTGCTGAAATTCACTCCATAAGAGTAAAAAATATATTTATATTAAAGAAATCCTAAATCGTCACCTGACAGTCTAAAACTCTCAATTGACCCAGATCAGTGATGTAATTTTACCGAACGCGCGTCATCAACAAGGCCAAATGTTAAACATCGCGGCGAAAGAAAAAGATGCATGCAAAAGTCATGACAGGCACGAGGTATCAATACCGTTATATATAACAACAACATATAGGTAGGAATACTACACATTCATCAAACATGACCTTTGAAAACAATTATTTACATATAGTATTACTGTCTTGTCCGCTAGTTGAGTCCGACATGACACATGACGGCATGCTATTGTTGTTATCTTCACTGCCTCACTTTCGAAACAACCACGTGACATATATAAATAGATCTGCGCTAAATTTACGCAGGGCTTCCCCGAGATTTCAGTGGTCAAAACTGGACATTGCAAGCAGAACTCGACCATCATATTGCCGTGGTATAACTTTTGGAAGGCCAGAGAACGCATTTAGACCCATTTATTTTGTATTTTTTCCCAGGCCAGCCCCTTTAATTTTTGAATTTCTGAAAATAAAAATAAGATGAAAGAGAAAAAATATACAGAAACCTACAGGTTTTTAAGAAATTAATATTTTGGTCTCTATAAAAGGATTTAACATTAAAGGGAAGTAAAAAAAAAATTGAAAATACTGTTTTCTTTAATCATATTTTATGTTGTGTATTTATGATTAAAATATTCAACAAAGTAGGAAAATAAGTCAATGATCCTTTAATTTCTTTGAGTCAACTTCTTCAAATACTTAAATGAAACTCAAACATCTCTTAAAGTGAAAATGGCATTCATGAGTTAGCTCCCTTTAAAGTGTTTAAAAAGTGTTGGTTTTTTTGGCAATTAAGGATGCATGGGTTAAGTGCTTATTACAACAATATGATTGGTTGATCAAATGAATCTCTAAGCCAATCAGATTTTTTTCATGTTACTGGTACAGTCATTACAATGTAGGTAATATACCTACCAGGCTTTAAAATGCATTACCTGAGCTATCCCATCTAGGCAGCAGGGTGACAAGCTTTGTGAAGTAACCCATACACTGTGCACTAGCTTTCTGTGGCTGCTTTGGAAGGCTAGTGATTGTAGCTAGTTATAGCTGTACGGGAAAGACTTAGCACTCTTCTAGCAATGTATAAAGAGCTAATAAACACAAAATCTTGTTTCAAATAGTTGGCTAAACTAGCCATTGAGTCAAGTTTGTGTGGAAGCTGACAAAAAGAAATACTAAAATCTTCTTATTTGCGCTAAAATTTCTATTTCCAGCTCAAAGGTTGGCACATGCTACTCATAGAAATTTCGATAATCTTTTGTTGATAATTTTTTTATTATATATATTTGAAAAGTGAATATTTATACTTTGTATATTTTTTCGTAACTTGTTAGTACAAAGTGGTTTGACCAGAATTGTAAGTAACCTATAGTTAAATACCCTGAGCTCCTGTATAAAAATTGCCAAATGGAAATAAGATAATACAAAGGAATTACATTGTAAAAACAAAATTTAATGAAAATGTATTAAAAGACTTTACAATTGTTAATCTGTAAATATGTAAATCAGAACAAATGAAGATTCTGTCTGGACAAGATAATATTTCTGTAAAGGGGGAAGGACTCCAATAAGAATAGCTGCATCAAACTAATCAGTCCAGGTGTCAAACTTCGGGGTGAGGTGACTCCATCAGTGAAGTTTAGATGAAAATTGTAGGAGGAATCCGACCAATAATCTGTCTATGGACATACGGCAGACAAACATGATTCCTGTGTACCTGTACGACTTAATTGCAGGAGCAGGACTAATGCGGGTAGGGGAAAATAATGCCAAAATTGGAGTGGGAATCTGGCCCATATTCGGCCTGTATATATCCATGAGGAGGTATAATATAGTTTTGTTGTGAGGGATGTAATTACTCCATGCGGGAGGTATCATTATCAGACAAGTATGTAACACTACAGTACGATTTGAAAACCATGAACCTTGAAAGATAGCATTTACTAAAGTTTCATATTACAGAAGATTCCACTTAAAGTCATGTTGTTTAATATCATATCCTGGTTAACATCCTCTTTTGATAATTTTTTTTTCTTTCCGTTTTTTATCCAAAATCAGGCACCTTTTCCTTGTTAAAACAACGCAGATTTTCCTAAATGAAGAAAAAATCAGGAGTGTTTCCCCAATTTCATTAACACTACTTTATTTTCCCAATTTAAGCAGGAATAAGCTCCTGGACATCTTGAGCGATGGTGACTTTTCTTGTATGGATAATTGCCATGAGAATTCATATTCACATAACGGCTATTTAGTGACAACAGACCAGAAAGACCTTAGAAGGGGTCTTGCATTATCAAGTTTTGTTGTGACTATGAGGATTTACAGGTACTCCAATAACTAAAACCTTGTAAAGTTACATTGTACCCTACATACTGATACAAAAGTGGTGGATGGTTTATATCATATTTCATTTTATATCACATTTCATTTTATATTTGACAATGACATTAAGAGGAATCCAATGTATGTAAGGTCAAAATTGTGTCATGAAGCCGTACGAGTCAGCTGAAGAGTGATGTCTCGTGCTGGTTCAAAAAAAGCTGATATAAGCAAAATATAAGCAAACAAACAAACCTGGTGTCCGCTGGTTCTGAAATCTAAATGCTTTTCCTGTGGAAAGAAAAGCCAATGACACATCTATTGGACCAACATGCGATTTCTAATAAGGCATTCAATTAAAAAGGCGATACTCAAAATATAGCACAGCATTCAAATTATGACCTGTATTGCTCACCTGTTTTTATTGAATCCTGGCCTAGCCCAACTGATTTTGTTTTTACACTCAGAACACTGCTGTTGATTATATTTTGTTTTATTTCATATTTATTCATTCTCATAAAAGTCCCACAAGGTATGGTTTTCTTTTCAGAAATGATTTATCAAAGCTAAAGTCATGCGGGAAAAAAACAAATTTCCGTACTTAGTTACATTTTTTGGCAGTGGTACTAGGATCCTTAAAATTGTGGGGTCCCAATGAATTGATTATTGACCTTAACTTTGTCGGGTCTCAGTAAATTGATGATTTACCCTACTTTGTCGGGTCTCAGTAAATTGATGATTTACCCTACATTGTGGGGTTCCTGTAAAATGATGATTAATCCTACTTTGTGAGGTCCCAATGAATTGATCATTGACCTTAACTTTGTCGGGTCTCAGTAAATTGATGATTAACCTGAACTTTGTGAGGTCTCAGTAAATTGATAATTAATCTTAACTTTGTGGGGTCCGAGTAAATTGATGATTAACCCTAATTTGTGGGGTCCCAGTAAATTGATGATTTACCCTACTTTGTGGGGTCCCAGTAAATTGATCATTAACCCTACTTTGTGGGGTCCCAGTAAATTGATGATTTACCCTACTTTGTGGGGTCCCAGTAAATTGATGATTAACCCTAATTTGTGGGGTCCTAGTAAATTGATGATTAACCCTAATTTGTGGGGTCCCAGTAAATTGATAATTAACCTTAACTGTGTGAGGTCTCTGTAAATTGATGATTAACCCTACTTTGTGGGGTCCCAGTAAATTGATAATTAACCTTAAATGTGTGAGGTCTCTGTAAATTGATGATTAACCCTACTTTGTGGGGTCCCAGTAAATTGATGATTAACCCTAATTTGTGGGGTCTCAGTAAATTGATAATTAACCTTAACTGTGTGAGGTCTCAGTAAATTAATTATTGACCCTACTTTGTGGGGTCCCAGTATATTGATGATTGACCTTAACTTTGTGAGGTCCCAGTAAATTGATGATTTACCCTACTTTGTGGGGTCCCAGTAAATTGATGATTTACCCTACTTTGTGGGGTTCCAGTAAATTGATCATTGACCCTACTTTGTGGGGTTCCAGTAAATTGATGATTTACCCTACTTTGTGGGGTCCCAGTAAATTGATGATTAACCCTAATTTGTGGGGTCTCAGTAAATTGATAATTAACCTTAACTGTGTGAGGTCTCAGTAAATTAATGATTTACCCTACTTTGTGAGGTCCCAGTAAATTGATGAGTAACCCTACTTTGTGAGGTCCAAGTAAAATGATGATTCACCTTAACTTTGTGGGGTTCCAGTAAATTGATGATTGACCCTACTTTGTGGGGTTCCAGTAAATTGATGATTGACCTTAACTTTGTGCGGTCCCAGTAAAATGATGATTAACCCTTCTTTGTGGGGTCCCAGTAAATTGATGATTTACCCTACTTTGTTGGGGCCCAGTAAATTGATGATTGACCCTACTTTGTGGGGTCCCAGTAAGTTGATGATTAACCCTACTTTGTGGGGTCCCAGTAAATTGATGATTAACCCTACTTTGTGGGGTCTCAGTAAATTGATGATTGACCCTACTTTGTGGGGTCCCAGTAAATTGATGATTAACCCTACTTTGTGAGGTCCCAGTAAATTGATGATTGACCATACTTTGTGAGGTCCCAGTAAATTGATGATTGACCCTACTTTGTGGGGTTCCAGCAAATAGATGATTAATCCTACTTTGTGAGGTCCCAGTAAATTGATGATTAACCCTACTTTGTAAGGTCCCAGTAAATTGATGAGTAACCCTACTTTGTGAGGTCCAAGTAAAATGATGATTAACCTTAACTTTGTGGGGTTCCAGTAAATTGATGATTGACCCTACTTTGTGGGGTTCCAGTAAATTGATGATTGACCTTAACTGTGTGGGGTCCCAGTAAAATGATGATTAACCCTTCTTTGTGGGGTCCCAGTAAATTGATGATTGACCCTACTTTGTGGGGTTCCAGTAAATTGATGATTGACCTTAACTGTGTGGGGTCCCAGTAAAATGATGATTAACCCTTCTTTGTGGGGTCCCAGTAAATTGATGATTGACCCTACTTTGTGGGGTTCCAGTAAATTGATGATTGACCTTAACTGTGTGGGGTCCCAGTAAAATGATGATTAACCCTTCTTTGTGGGGTCCCAGTAAATTGATGATTGACCCTACTTTGTGGGGTTCCAGTAAATTGATGATTGACCTTAACTGTGTGGGGTCCCAGTAAATTGATGATTTACCCTTCTTTGTGGGGTCCCAGTAAATTGATGATTAACCCTAATTTGTGGGGTCCTAGTAAATTGATGATTAACCCTAATTTGTGGGGTCCCAGTAAATTGATAATTAACCTTAACTGTGTGAGGTCTCTGTAAATTGATGATTAACCCTACTTTGTGGGGTCCCAGTAAATTGATGATTAACCCTAATTTGTGGGGTCTCAGTAAATTGATAATTAACCTTAACTGTGTGAGGTCTCAGTAAATTAATTATTGACCCTACTTTTCGGGGTCCCAGTATATTGATGATTGACCTTAACTTTGTGAGGTCCCAGTAAATTGATGATTGACCATACTTTGTGGGGTCCCAGTAAGTTGATGATTAACCCTCCTTTGTGGGGTTCTTTGTGGGGTCCCAGTAAGTTGATGATTAACCCTACTTTGTGGGGTTCCAGTAAATTGATGATTTACCCTACTTTGTGGCGTCCCAGTTAATTGATGATTAACCCTAATTTGTGGGGTCTCAGTAAATTGATAATTAACCTTAACTGTGTGAGGTCTCAGTAAATTAATTATTGACCCTACTTTTCGGGGTCCCAGTATATTGATGATTGACCTTAACTTTGTGAGGTCCCAGTAAATTGATGATTTACCCTACTTTGTTGGGGCCCAGTAAATTGATGATTTACCCTACTTTGTGGGGCCCCAGTAAATTGATGATTAACCCTAATTTGTGGGGTCCCAGTAAATTGATGATTAACCCTAATTTGTGGGGTCCCAGTAAATTGATGATTAACCCTACTTTGTGAGGTCCAAGTAAAATGATGATTAACCTTAACTTTGTGGGGTTCCAATAAATTGATGATTGACCCTCCTTTGTGGGGTTCCAGTAAATTGATGATTGACCTTAACTTTGTACGGTCCCAGTAAATTGATGATTAACCCTACTTTGTGAGGTCCAAGTAAAATGATGATTAACCTTAACTTTGTGGGGTTCCAATAAATTGATGATTGACCCTCCTTTGTGGGGTTCCAGTAAATTGATGATTGACCCTACTTTGGGGGGTTCCAGTAAATTGATGATTTACCCTACTTTGTGGGGTTCCAGTAAATTGATCATTGACCCTACTTTGGGGGGTTCCAGTAAATTGATGATTTACCCTACTTTGCGGCGTCCCAGTTAATTGATGATTAACCCTAATTTGTGGGGTCTCAGTAAATTGATAATTAACCTTAACTGTTTGAGGTCTCAGTAAATTAATGAGTTACCCTACTTTGTGAGGTCCCAGTAAATTGATGAGTAACCCTACTTTGTGAGGTCCAAGTAAAATGATGATTAACCTTAACTTTGTGGGGTTCCAATAAATTGATGATTGACCCTCCTTTGTGGGGTTCCAGTAAATTGATGATTGACCTTAACTTTGTACGGTCCCAGTAAATTGATGATTAACCCTACTTTGTGGGGTCTCAGTAAATTGATGATTGACCTTAACTGTGTGAGGTCTCAGTAAATTAATTATTGACCCTACTTTTCGGGGTCCCAGTATATTGATGATTGACCTTAACTTTGTGAGGTCCCAGTAAATTGATGATTAACCCTACTTTGGGGGGTCCCAGTAAATTGATGATTAACCCTACTTTGTTGGGGCCCAGTAAATTGATGATTTACCCTACTTTGTGGGGCCCCAGTAAATTGATGATTAACCCTAATTTGTGGGGTCCCAGTAAATTGATGATTAACCCTACTTTGTGAGGTCCAAGTAAAATGATGATTAACCTTAACTTTGTGGGGTTCCAATAAATTGATGATTGACCCTCCTTTGTGGGGTTCCAGTAAATTGATCATTGACCCTACTTTGTGGGGTTCCAGTAAATTGATGGTTGACCTTAACTGTGTGGGGTCCCAGTAAAATGATGATTAACCCTACTTTGTGGGGTTCCAGTAAATTGATGATTGACCTTAACTTTGTAAGGTCCCAGTAAATTGATGATTAACCCTACTTTGTGAGGTCCAAGTAAAATGATGATTAACCTTAACTTTGTGGGGTTCCAATAAATTGATGATTGACCCTCCTTTGTGGGGTTCCAGTAAATTGATGATTGACCTTAACTTTGTACGGTCCCAGTAAATTGATGATTAACCCTACTTTGTGAGGTCCAAGTAAAATGATGATTAACCTTAACTTTGTGGGGTTCCAATAAATTGATGATTGACCCTCCTTTGTGGGGTTCCAGTAAATTGATGATTGACCTTAACTTTGTACGGTCCCAGTAAATTGATGATTAACCCTACTTTGTGAGGTCCAAGTAAAATGATGATTAACCTTAACTTTGTGGGGTTCCAATAAATTGATGATTGACCCTACTTTGTGGGGTTCCAGTAAATTGATGATTGACCTTAACTTTGTACGGTCCCAGTAAATTGATGATTAACCCTACTTTGTGGGGTCCCAGTAAATTGATGATTAACCCTAATTTGTGGGGTCCCAGTAGATCGATGATTTACCCTTCTTTGTGGGGTCCCAGTAAAATGATGATTAACCCTACTTTGTGGGGTTCCAGTAAATTGATGATTGACCTTAACTTTGTAAGGTCCCAGTAAATTGATGATTAACCCTACTTTGTGGGGTCCCAGTAAATTGATGATTAACCCTACTTTGTTGGGGTTCCAGTAAATTGATGATCGACCTTAACTTTGTGAGGTCCCAGTAAATTGATGATTAACCCTACTTTGTGGGGTCCCAGTAAATTGATGATTGACCCTACTTTGTGGGGTCCTAGTAAATTGATTACACCTTGTAAAGTTAGCACCAATAGAGACCAGAATTCTGTAACTGCTACGTTAGTGACTGATAATAATAGTTACACCATGGAGAACTGTGTCAAGGACTGGAATTCTGAGTTCAAAAGTGTCAGCTGAGTCTGTGGGAAAGCTTCTACCGGGTATAGAATCAATGTCAAATGAATTCAGATCACTAGTCTAAAGAAGCTTGTAGGCAGATTTTGAAAATTTCTACTAGCCCAGCCTATAACTGCATAGTAAATGTACAGTTGTTCACTAAATTCAAATCTGCAACAGTAGAGTTAAAATTGTTATATTGACAATATCAATACATATATGGGAAACGAAATATGACAGATCTATCTTTGTATTCTTTATACAACTGAAAGTTTATTAATATAAACATTAACAAAAACAAAATGGGAATTTTCAGTCCTCTCACTGTTTCTAGCAGCAACATATATAATATAGATGAATTGATGAGGATAACATACTTTCAATCAAGAGGTGCACAGCACTGCATAACACAAACTCAATCTGATTAATATACAGCTTGATCCTCAATATACTATCGTTCTACTATCGAGAGAAGCTGTATTTCAATCAGATTGAACACAAACTGGAACTTTAATTAAAAGCTGTCTTGTTTTTTATGTATTTCAAATAAAAAGGTTCAATGCAAAAGCCGACAACACACTTAAACATTGTGCAGCAATTAAGGTAAAACGATGAAAACTTTGATAAAAAAATCTACAATTTACTTTTGGATTGTTGATCTTTTGTTAATGTATGCATAATGAGTTGTATCAATTACAAAACTGTATAGCTAAAGGCTATTTATTAGTGCAATACCTGCAGTATTATGTTAAGTATAAAAGTATAAAAGATGCCTTTAAGTTTCTATATTATCTTTAAGGGAAACATCTGGTGGAGTACACTTGCCTGCAACATTTCTTTCTGATCGGAATTAGGTACATACAAACATAGCAGCTGAATAAAGCCTAATGTTAGTTAGACAATGGATGTATGCACCAGCCAATAACACACGAACAAGTGTTATTTACTTATTATAACTTGCATTACAATGGCTATAGGAACATTAACATGTAACAGTCGGAGTCATAAACAGCATACATGTACCACATATACTACATATATACTACATCACATATTAAACAAATTATCTTATTCAGTAAATCGCTAAAGTACTGTGGCAAGAAAACTGGTGTCAGGGGTCCAGAAAACCCTTTTGTCCACAACTGCTAGTGTGTATGATTCAGGCAGGTGGGTCACTGGCAGGTCTTCACTAAATGGCAGACTCAATACTAGTACTGCTAGATTTTGCTTGGCTATAGTTATGACAAGGGCAGTCAGTTTCAGCCAGATCCTGCAGCGGAAGTTTTATGTAAATTATTACAATTCAAGCTGAGGAGGGCATTCTTGTCTACAAATGGTCTAGGGATACTGCCCAAGGGTGTGAAAAAGATGTGCATTGATTAGGTTGCCTCACAAGCATCAGATGTAGGGAATTTTCCTTTAACAAACTGGTGCCATTGACCCTCCCCGTTCAAGGTAGGAGAACCCTTGATGGGGAGTGAAAGAACCTGGGTCAGTGATTGAAAAAGGGGGGAATAGTGTAAAAGATGTGGATTAATTAGGTTGCCTTTCAAGCGTCAGCTGTAGGGAATTTCCCTTTAGCTCAGCGGTAGAGCATTGGGCTGGTGAGCCAAGGGTTGCGGGTTCGAGCCCCAGCGACAGCACTATCTGTATCATTATTCCTCGTCCTATTACACGTGGATAACCAAACCATCCTTTTTTCGATTCAGTCAAAATTCACAGTGTGTGCTACAGACATTTATACTAGTTTATTTTAACTGTGAATCTATGTTTTTCTGAATAAGTCCCATTTGCAGTGTCTTCTGTTTTATACAAAAATGATATGTTCCTCAATTGCATACCTGCTAAATGACCCGCATCTTGTGGGTCACAACCGTAAAAATTAACCTATCATCCGCGACCAACCCATGACACGCGCGGGTCTCCCGCATTCCGTCAACATGACCCAGAATCACCCTCCTTTTCTCTCGTATTAGTATCTCCTTAATTTCAGAAGTGTTCCATTCGTGTGACTTGGAGGCTTAGCATTCAGATACATAATGGGTAAAGTCTGTAGTAGTTGTACAAATTTGAATGTACCAAGATATCATACCAATATATATAGTTGTAAATACCTCTAATTAACATATATGCATATATTTTTTTCCAATTTTCAACATGCAGGCAGTCAGATTCCCAATGTAGTACATACAGATGAGAGGGAGAAATAGATAGGGGTGCTTCTAGATGAGTTCATGCTACCAGTATGAATCAATGATGAAATTAACTCAAACTACCTGTATGTACAGGGAAATTATTATTTTGAAAAGAGAAAATGTAATAAAACAAAATGCGTGAACAGATTTATTTATTTATCTAAAAAAAAAGTCCTAAATCATGGCAGAAGAATGAATGCCATTTCTTCTGTCTAGTTATTTTTAAAATTGATTTCTGTCATTTTTGCATGAGCAAAGGAAGGAAGTTGCAAACTGACTTTATTACAGTAGTTCAGTAATCATTATATATTTAGTACCCAGGTAAAATTAGAGAAGCAATTTTGCTTTTATTTGTTTATTCAGAAATTTCACCTTTAGGGCTCAAAAAACTGCTTACTCTGCACATTTTTTTTTTTAAATTATCTTGAAATGCTTGGCCTATTTCATCATATTGAAGACTTTATAGAGGTGTGTCATTCTTAGCCAATGAAAACGGCCGTTATATCTCCATACAGTAGCATCGAAGATGGTTCAATCATTCATCACCTCTACGATATATTTGTGATATGTTTTGTATTTACTTATTTATACAAGCTTCAGTTACAAAACGCCAAGTGCCCGTGTGTCAAATAACCCCGCGAAAATAGTGTAATATGCAGCGTCCTGACATCAGCCCACGTCAGACAATAGCTAGCCTACTAGGCCTAAATCATGTTTTGTACCGTACCTCCACTTCGGTTTGTTCTCATGCCAATCGTTCCTCCTGTAAAAAGCACTAGAACTTTTGCTTCTTGTTCCTGCTCTACAGATTCCGCTACCCCCGCAGTAGCAAGCTTACTCCGCCGCTGAAACAGGTCGTCTTCCATCGCACTAGACTTGGCACCTTCGTCTGCCATGTTGATTGTGGAGAAAGAAAGAAGTGGTACCCTCTGAAGGAATTCCGAACGGGATGTGGTTTTCTGCGCATGTGCTATTTTTTTAAAAACGAAAGTAGGAACGTTAGTTAGACACTTTCCTGGTGATAAACAGAATAGTGTCTCACATAGCCAACAATTGATCAGATATTTTGCTTGAATACTAAAACTTACAAGAGTGGCCTACATTTTGATTAAACGTTGTTATAATCGTTAACCTCGTGTTTTTACCCCGCCAAATATATACAATGTCAAAATATTAAGTTGGCAGAGCGGTTGATTTTTTTTATTGTTATCAACGATTAGTGTTGTCCTATAAATTCTTAGTTATCTATAATTCATTGTTAAGCAAACAAATAGTACTCAATTAAAAAGTAAACAAAACAAACATAAACACGTGTGATAAACAAACAGTAGAAAATAATCGAGATGTCCCGAAACCACTTTTGACACTCCGTTTTGCCCGAAACGACCCGGAAAAAAGGTCCCGAAACGACATGACACCTAAAGACCAACAGCCCTAGATCAAGTAGCAAAATGTCGCAAAAATCAACTGGGAGACAACCCATATATGATACCACACAGAAAACAAACCTACGTATCATGACAGTCAATTGTATCTGTATCTGTCGGTATCTGTAAGGTTCCGGATAAAATTCATAAATTGAATATCACATCCGTGGAGGAGGAGTGGAGTAAAAGTTAGTTTTTGAGGCTACTACGGAATTGGTCGACCGTAGTTGCACTGATGGAGGATTCTTTTATAGCTTTCCAATCGGTTATAGTGTACGTGGGAAGAAGGATTGTCTGTAGTTTTCAGTGTTGCTCGATATCTGTTTTAGTTTCTGAGTGTTGTTTCGTCGTGTGTTGGTACGGCTGGCTGTGATGTAGTCGTCAGCGGGTATGGCTACTAGCTCATTGATGATCTTAAACAACCGTACTAGTCTGTGTTCACGGCGTCTGTCTTTCAGTGATTCGAGTTCTAGTCTGTTTAGCATGGATGTTACACTGCTTTCTCTTTGGTAATCTGACAGAATGAATCTTGCTGCACGCCTTGTATTTTCTCTATGGTATATATGTTCTTGTCCGTGTAAGGGTCCCAGATGGTGGAACTATACTCCAATACAGATCGAATTAGGGACTTGAACGCACACAATTTCAGATCCGTCGGACATTTCTTCAGATTTCTCCGAAGGAATCCCAGTGTGGAGTTGGCACGGTTGGAAAGTTTGGTGATTTGTGATGACCATTTCATGGTGTTGCTGAAGAGGATGCCGAGGTATGTGTTGTCAGTTAGCTCTTCTAGTATGGTATCACCGAGAGTGTAGTGAAAGCTTAAGGCTGATGGAGATTTAAGCGATGGATCCTCATGATGTACCATTTGCTGGTGTTAAAGGACATGCCCCACGCTGATGCCCATCGTTCTAATGATTTTGAATATTCTTGAAAGTCTAAGTGATCCTGGACAGTTTTTATCGTCCTATAAAGGAGACAGTCATCTGCAAATAACCTGACGGTGGATTTCACTGCTGGTGGAAGGTCATTGATGTGGCAGAGGAAGAGGAGTGGTCCGAGTACTGTCCCTTGGGGGACTCCGGACTCAATTTGCACTGATGCTGAATGTTCACCATCCACTAGTACCCGTTGGTTTCTGCCCTGCAGGAATGATGAAATCCAAGGAATGATGTCGGGATGAACGCCGTAGTGGTCAAGTTTATGCAAAAGGTGTCGGTGCGGGACCGTGTCAAAGGCTTTACTGAAGTCTAAAATAGCCATGTCAATTTGTTTCTTTTGGTCGAATCGGGAAAGAAGGTCCTGGGTTGTGACAAGGAGTTGGGTTTCACAAGAATGTTTTGTTCGAAATCAATGTTGTACTTCCGTCAGAATGTTATTTTCTAAGTGCGTGAGGAGGTGTTTACAAATGACGTGTTCGAGAAGTTTTGAACAGACGCAGGTAAGTGGGACAGGCCGGTTATTGCTGGCAAGGTGGCGGTTACCCCTTTTGTAGATTGGCGTGATGTTAGCCTTTTTCCAGTCTGATGGTAGGCAACCAGTCTGGAGTGATTTGTCGAATATGACGGATAAGCCTGTTGCTAGTTCACTACAACACTCTTTCAAAACTCGGTTAGGTATTCCAGCTGGGCCACTGGCTTTGGTTGCTGACAGGTTGCCGAGAAGTTTTTCCACTCCCTTGACATCAATAGTTATGTTGCCCATGGTGGGTGTTCGCGAGCCTGGTAAGGGGGTAACTCCTCGTTCTTATCCTTTGTGAACACAGATTGAAACTGCTTGTTGAGCAAGTCAGCTTTACGTCTGCTGTCAGTTTGTAGCCTTGTGCCATCTTTAATTGGGCCAACACCGATGTTATCTTGTTTTATTTTAATTTTATATAGGTCCAAAATGGCTTACTGTTTTTTTTCGACAACGCTAGCCTCTAGTACGTGGTTGATGTGGTCCCACTCTGCTTTCCTTAAGGATTTTTGGGTCTCATGATTATGCTGCTTGTACTTGGCCCAGTCTTCGGGTTTCTTTGTTTTGCATGCTTTGCGGTATAGTCGGTGTTTTTTCCTAATAACTCTGCGTTGTAACATTTTTAGCCATGGGAGATTGTGTCTGCTAGATGTTAGACGAGATGGTTCGTTGACAATTTTGTTGACACCGTCCGTGAAAGTTTGCTAGAGATTGTTAACGTCCTCGTTGGGGTCTTGCATGATGCTATCACTGACCAATTTTGCTGCATCCTTAATTTCTTGCCAGTCGACATTCCGATATAGTTGGACTTTCCTGGGCTTGGGCTTAGTTTGGACAGGTTTGATGTCAGCATCTACCACTACAATGTCATGGTCGGAAATGTCTGGAATGGTCTGGGAGTATTTCACAAGTGTAGGATTATTTGTGAGGTACAAGTCCAAAACATTTCCCTTTCTTGTCGGTTTGTCCTGGGTGTTTGTCAATGAGTGGTTGTTCATGACGTCGAGAAATTCCTGATGAAATGCTACTTTGCTTGTGTCACTAATAACAGATGTTGTAGACCAGTTGATATTTGGGAGATTAAAGTCCCCGGCGATTACTATGTGCTTTTCTTTGTTGTTCTCGATTAGTGACAGTGTTTTGTCAAGTTCACTACTGACGTCTATAGGTGAGTTTGGTGGACGATGGAAGGCTACTGTGCATGTCTTCTTGGATCCTTTCAGGGCAATCTCTAGCCAAATAATTTCACAGTTCGTATCAGTAGTGGGTAGGATGTTTGCGGGGTAGTGGTCTCTGACAGATATGAAGACGCCACCCCCGTGCTGATTCCTGTCTTTCCGAAACGTTTGGTATCCAGTGGGGAATAATTCACTGTCTTCGATTGACGGGTCCAACCATGATTCTGTCCCAATTATGATATCAGGTTTGATATAATTGGCCGCCGCCTTCAGGTCTGAGGATTTGTTCTTCAAACTCTGACAGTTAACAATGAGAGTTTTCATGTTGTTCTGCTTTAGGGGCAAGATATGACCCAGTGAAGCAGCGCTGTAGAAGTATCAAAGATGAAACTCAAGAACTGACAGCAGCCATAGAATACCTCAAGCCTGATGAAATTTGTGGGACAGAATCCTGGCTAAAGGGAATAAAGCCAGGCACAAACCCAACTGATGACGCCATTAAATCCAGTGAAGTTTTCCAAACAGGATACCACGCATACAGAAATGATAGAGGAACAATAGGATGAGGTGTATATATACTTGTCGACAAAAACATCATCTTCGAGGAACAACCGGAATTCATAACAGACTGTGAGATAGAATGGGCTAAAAAACCCAACCAACAACAAGGACATATACATATCAAGTTTCTACACAGAAACATGAAGGACATACAGGAACTTGAAAAATCTTTGAAGGAAACATCAAAACTAAAATACAAAAAACATCTTACTGGCAGGGGACTTCAACTGTCCAGATATAAGCTGGAAAAATTCAACAGCAAAACACGGCAGAGAGACGAATATACAACAGCGACTTGTAGACATAACAACTAATGCGGGCCTAACACAAATACCCAACCAACCCACGAGAGAAGATAACATACTAGATCTCGTCTTCACAACAAACCCATCCCTCATAAAAACATTCATTAGTGTACCAGGAATATCAGACCACGACATCGTCATAACAGACATGGAAACACGGCATTATTACCAACCGACACCAGCTAGAAAGTGCTACATTTACTCAAGAGGTGACTGCACCAAATACAATAATGCCTTAGACAAGCTGGCAAGTACCTTCAAGGAAATGCACGAGAAAAGCATGAGCATTCAAGATCTGTGGAACACCTTCAAAGCCAAATTACAAGAACACATGGATGACTGAATCCCGTCAAGAGAAACAAAGACAAAATACTCAGTACAGAAAAAGGAAAATACAAAAGAAAAAGGCTAGACTTTACAAACAGGCAAAAAAAGAACAAAAAATTGGGCCAACTACCGGCATTTCCAAAAGGACTGCAAACGTCACCTTAGGCAAGCCGAGTGGAAGTATGTCAACAATAACATTCTAGAGGGCCTTTCCAAAAATAATACTAGACCAATCTGGCAGTACGTGAAGTCAAAGAAACAGGACTCATTTGGAATAGCGCTACTAAAATCAGGAAACAAGCTAATCAGCGACAGCAAACAAAAAGCTCAGATACTGATAAACCAATACAAATCAGTATTCACAAAAGAAGAACCTGGCCCACAACCAACAACTAGTAAAACTGCAAAACACGAGATTCCACCACTTAAAATTCATATGGAGGGAGAAACTGCTCAACAAAGTAAACCTCAATAAAACATCGGGACCGGACAACAAACCAAACAAAATACTGAAGGAGTGTGCAAACCATCTAGCACCAAGTCTCACAATCATCTTCAAACTATCTGTAGACACTGGCCAACTACCAAAAGATTGGAGTGACACAAATGTCACAAGCATCTACAAGAAAGGGAACAAACACCAAGCCGAAAACTATAGACCGGTCTCACTAACATCAGTGTCCAGTAAACTATTAGAGCACATCATAATTATTATTATTATGCAGACACATTATTAAACACCTAGAGAGAAATGAGATACTCACATCATCATACTCACTCATGAAATCGGAGGAAATGAAAGTGGACTCCGGAGTCCCCCAGGGCACAGTGCTCGGACCTCTGCCACATCAACGATCTACCGGACACTGAAGACCACACACTCCTACAAAAAGATCTAGAAAACTTGGAGAAATGGGCCAAAAGATGGGGATTGCGTTTTAATGCCAAGAAATGCTACATAATGAGCATGGGCAAGAATACATCTAAATTCTACACCCTCAACAACCACACCTTAGAGAAAGTACAAGACAACCCTTATCTTGGTTTACAAATATCATCAGACCTAAAATGGACCACACACATAGTAAAGTAGCCAAGAAATCACAATCAACTCTGGCCTTCCTACGCAGGAATCACAAACACTGCGCCGTGGAATGTAGGAAAACCGCATATACCTCAATGGTAAGATATGTAATGGAATACGGCGCCACTATATGGGATCCCAATCAAAAATCAGACATAGACAAACTAGAACGCATCCAGAGCCGAGCGATACTTTTCGTCAAACAAGACTCCAAGACCAGAGAGGCGGGATGCGTAAACAAGATGCCACAAGACCTTTAGCTGTAGACACTAGAATGTAGAAGAAAAAGTCTCTGTCTTGTGCTCTTATATAAGGTGGTTGAGGGGTTGGTCCCGGGTTTACCCCCTGAAGATGTTTTGGTTAAATCAACAAACAGAAGACAAATTAGAGCAAAGAAGTTCAGTGGCTGCGTCACGAACAATATCATAACAAAACAGGTCAAAAGCAAGCCCAAACAGACCAATACAAGAACTCATACTTTGTGAGAACTGGCATAGACTGGAACCAACTGGATGAGTATACAGTCAGCGCAAATTCAGTCGAGGCATTCAAATCTGCACTCGACAAAAGAAGCCATTAAGACCAGGCAGCACCTCCCCCGTCGTTCATCACACCAGAGTTGGGCTCTAACAACGTACAGATACAGATACATATATATTAGCAAACCTAGCTGAATTCTCGTTGTCATCTTTTTGCCCCGAAAAGACGACATTCAGTAGTTATTATTAAATCTCGTTCGGTGCAAACAGACGAGAAATCACACGCGAAAAGACGAAAAGAAGGCACGCTGATTATGGCGACTTCAATGTCTCGTCTTTTCGGGGTAGAAATCTCGTCTTTTCATTGTTTCGTCTTTTTGGGGCTAAGGGACGATAATTAACAAACCTTAATTCTCGTTGTGTCGTCTTTTCGGGGCGAAAGGATGACACTTAATAAACCTTAATTCTAGTTGTTTCGTCTTCCAGTAACCAGCCATGAAATCTGGCGTATTTAGCCCAATTAGATGTATCTGGCTATTTAAAGATGCTCCTTGGGCACTTTTTCGAATTTCAGTCTAAAATCATGATTTTTTTTGTTTTCGTTTTGAACGTGTCAGGGCACATTGTCACAGGTCTTATGCCGCTTTTTCACACCTTTACCGTTACAGGATATCTTCTAATGTATTCACATACAAAAGGGCACCAACGATACCCCAGGCGAAAGATGGCCACTGGGCACTTTTTCGAATTTCAGTCTAAAATCATTATTATTTCTGGGTTTTTTGCACATAATTTGTGACCACAACGATGTCACACGCTGTCTTAAAAGGACACATTCTTTAATCATGCTAACAAGATTTGTGTAACACACTTCTTAGTCTATTGGTCTTTTTCTTGCCTGTTATTTTAAGAAAGACTAAAATATATTTGTATTACCACAAAAATTCCTACGCACCCTTAACCTTAAAAGCATTGATAATCTTCATTTCTGCTGCAGCGGGAAACATGAGCAATTTTTCAGCATCGTAAACCGAACCAAAATAAATTGAATGTCAGCTTTCATTCATCCTATTGATCAGAGTTACGGTACCATTTCTGCACTACCTTCGTTCAACGCCGATTGGCTGCCTATATTTTTCTGTCGTCATTTCGTACTCTTGGAATCCCCATCTACACAGTCATCTATCAAAACTTGCTCAAGTGCATGCCTGATACTTTGCAGAACTGAATTTTCAGTGACAGTTACCACTGCAGAATATATTTTGCAGCTGCTGTGCTTTTTCGAATATGAATGATTAATAATAAATGATTTAAGTAGCCTAGTTATTTGCGCACCCTATCACAGTATACAAGGGTTATATTATGAACCATGTGTTTTTTCACCTTAGAACCACGGCCCCTATCACAGTATACAAGGGTTATATTAGGAACCATGTGTTTTTTCACCTTAGAATCACGGCTCCTATCACAGTATACAAGGGTTATATTAGGAACCATGTGTTTTTTCACCTTAGAATCACGGCCCCTATCACAGTATACAAGGGGTATATTATGAACCATGTGTTTTTTCACCTTAGAACCACGGCCCCTATCACAGTATACAAGGGATATATTAGGAACCATGTGTTTTTTCACCTTAGAACCACCGCCCCTATCACAGTATACAAGGGGTATATCACAGTATACAAGGGTTATATTATGAACCATGTGTTTTTTCACCTTAGAACCACGGCCCCTATCACAGTATACAAGGGTTATATTAGGAACCATGTGTTTTTTCACCTTAGAATCACGGCTCCTATCACAGTATACAAGGGTTATATAAGGAAGCACGGTTTTAAACTATTGTCTCTTTTTTTAATATTTAGCCATCACAATTACTTTGAATGTATATATATATATATTATGCAAATGGTGATTACTTAATGTACATGTATAATGCAGATTTGTATGCCTTTTTCATCCACTTAATTTAAAACTGTTAATGTAGGAATACTATAATCCATGTGTTGAAAAGCATATAAAAAAATGCAAAATGTATAGGGCACAATATAAATGTTGTAAATCATTATTATTATTAAATTGATAAAAAGGTCCAGAAACCACTTTTTGATAAATTCTGTCCATATGTGATGCAACTCTGTGTGTTCGGGGAAAGACTAGGCCACCTGTTTCCCACTGATGTCGTAAAGGGCGACAATGTGGTGTTCCCTGCAGAATCTGTTGTTTTATGCTGCGTCTTCCGCTAAGGGGAAAGTGACAAAACCAAAAGATATGTTGGACCCCTATTTGCAACATGTTGCCTCTTAAAATTTCCTTTCTACTTCGTTACAATCTAGTTGTTTCTCAGTGCCTTAGCTGGCAAGACCTCACTTTTGGCCATAGTCTTGAACGTGAAAAACAAGATGTTCGTCCAACTTGAGTAGGCAATACCAAAGTCCTTAAACATCGTATTTGTTATTTTGCATTGGGAGATATCGCTTGAAAGAGAAAGTAGAAAAGAATGAAGACTGGAAAGTGTTGCAATTTAGGCAGCTCCATGCACTCGTAGTAAAAGACAAGGAAGACATCCTCGATTATGTAGGGGTCCCTTTTTGTTGCCTTTTACGGTACACATGCAGTGGGATACAGCTACATATCTGGACTGCAAGTTTGCAATTAAACAGTGAGTTTACAATTTAGTCGCTTCTTAGGCCTAAGTATTTTTCATATGGTATCCTCAACTTGCAGGGGTGGTTCATTATAACCGTACTTTGATTTGTTTTACGGGTTTAAGCGTCCTATAAACAACTATAGTAATTTAAGGATATTCCTCCATGTGTGTATGCTTGTATGCATGATAGAGGCGTTATGTTGGTGTACTTGGACCCTTGCAAAAGTTCAGCACAGCACAACACCAGGTTATCTGATTGACAACAGGATAACCAGTCCTTACTGCTACCCATTTAAGCTGAACGTCAAGCACGGGGCAGCCCATAACCTTCCTTGCTAGGGCAAATGTCCAAAACCAAAGCGAAAAGTGAGGTTTTGCCAAGAAAAGTGTTTGGAAACAAAAAAGGTTATTAGGAAGTAGAGAGAAAATATAAGAATCCAAACTGTTAGAATGGGTCACCAAATTTACCTTTTCTTTATGTTTCTATGTATCGCAAATCCCAAATTCTGAAGGGGTTCCCACATTAGATTATTTTTTTCATCCGTGATCTGCAGGGGTATACATTGTATAACTGTAGCTGGTTAAAGGACGTTTAATCCACTTAACCAAAACCAAACAATTAACTTTTTGACTAAAGATAACGAACGAAACAATTCGTCTAAAATATTTTATACAAATTAAAAGATAGGAAATATGGAATATTAAAATTGTAAATAAACAAATCCAGTTAAAAATGGCGTATTTGTTGTGAGATCTATTTGAGGCACAGCTTTGGGACGTCGAACACATTCGGATTGGTAATACCTACAGTAACACCATTGTATCTGTAACAGAAATGATATAAAGATGAGATATACGTCTTGCCACATCATGGTATCTTTCATGTGATCATTAGTTTATAAATATTATAATAACTATGTGCTAGTCTTTCTTGATTTTACAATCGATGTCTCATAGGGTTTAAACAACTAATTGATAAAACCTTAATTGATTTGCTGCCACAAATGCGACACTTGGGATCTATACCTGTTTTCTCACTTCACTCATCCTTTTCGGCAGTGACCCCGGCCGTCGTCACATGACCTAAGCTGTTACGAGGACGTTAAACCCTAGTTAGTTTTACGTGGTGTCACATGGTGGCAACAGCCGGGTTCATGAAGATATAAACGAGTTCGGGGAATGACGAGTCAAGCCGAAGTGAAGAGTAAATAAGAGAAGATCGAGTTTGGGGTATAAGGAGACAAGCCGAAGTGAAGGGTAAATAAAAGAAGATCGAGTTTGGGGTATAAGGAAACAAGCCGAAGTGAAGAGGAAATAAGAGAAGATCGGGTTTGGGGTATGATGAGACAAGCCGAAGTGAAGAGTAAATAAAAGAAGATCGAGTTTGGGGTATAAGGAAACAAGCCGAAGTGAAGAGTAAATAAGAGAAGTCGAGTTTGGGGTATAAGGAGACAAGCCGAAGGGAAGAGTAAATAAGAGAAGATCGAGTTTGAGGTATAAGGAGCCAAGCCGAAGTGAAGAGTAAATAAGAGAAGACCGAGTTTGGGGTATAAGGAGACAAGCCGAAGGGAAGAGTAAATAAGAGAAGATCGAGTTTGAGGTATAAGGGGATAAGCCGAAGTGAAGAGTAAATAAGAGAAGGTCGAGTTTGAGGTATAAGGAGACAAGCCGAAGGGAAGAGTAAATAAGAGAAGATCGAGTTTGAGGTATGACGAGACAAGCCGAAGCGAAGAGTAAATAAGAGAAGTCGAGTTTGGGGTATAAGGGGACAAGCCGAAGGGAAGAGTTAATAAGAGAAGATCGAGTTTGGGGTATGATGAGACAAGCCGAAGTGAAGAGTAAATAAAAGAAGATCGAGTTTGGGGTATGACGAGACAAGCTGAAGTGAAGAGTAAATAAGAGAAGATCGAGTTTGAGGTATAAGGAGCCAAGCCGAAGTGAAGAGTAAATAAGAGAGGATCGAGTTTGAGGTAAAAGGAGAAAAGCCGAAGTGAAGAGTAAATAAGAGAAGGTCGAGTTTGAGGTATAAGGAGACAAGCCGAAGTGAAGAGTAAATAAGAGAAGATCGGGTTTGGGGTATGATGAGACAAGCCGAAGTGAAGAGTAAATAAGAGAGGATCGAGTTTGAGGTATAAGGAGACAAGCCGAAGTGAAGAGTAAATAAGAGAAGATCGAGTTTGGGGTATGACGAGACAAGCAGGTAACTTACATGGTGTGTTGGATCCCCTGGTCAGTAGTAAAGTGGTAATCCCAAATAGGGAAACAGCTCGGATAGGACACGAGACTGGTCAGGTGACCTGCTAAGGAAAATACTGTTTAAGTATTTGCAATTTGAAAAAAGATTTAAGATAAGTATCGAGAATATAAAAAAACATTATTTAATTGAAAATAAACGATCTCTTGAAATGTCAGTAATGAATATTATTAAGCATTTACCACCTATGGTTGCAAGTTTATCATAACAAATGGCTGTCCCAAATAGCAAAAAGATTTATATTTTCTATAATTATACAGTGAATTCAGTACATTTCGCGTAATGAAGTCAAGCAAATACAATAAAAAAATATGACAATATGTCATACTTGGTGTCTCTCAAACCTCATCGAAAACGAAAAATTTCGCTATCAGAAATAAAAACAAACATTAGTTTGTGACATAATGCATCAGAGAAAATGTTTCACTGGCGTCACATTCGCCGAGCAATACTTGTGATATCGTTAGGATATTTATATAGTCCTGGCGTCACATTCACCGAGCAGTACTTGTGATATCGTTAGGATATTTATATAGTACTGGCGTCACATTCACCGAGCAATACTTGTGGTATCGTTAGGATATTTATATAGTACTGGCGTCAGATTCACCGAGCAATACTTGTGATATCGTTAGGACATTTATATAGTCCTGGCGTCACATTCACCGAGCAGTACTTGTGATATCGTTAGGATATTTATATAGTACTGGCGTCACATTCACCGAGGAAGACTTGTGATATCGGTAGGATATTTATATAGTCCTGGCGTCACATTCACCGAGCAGTACTTGTGATATCGTTAGGATATTTATATAGTACTGGCGTCAGATTCACCGAGCAATACTTGTGATATCGTTAGGACATTTATATAGTCCTGGCGTCACATTCACCGAGCAGTACTTGTGATATCGTTAGGATATTTATATAGTCCTGGCGTCACATTCACCGAGCAATACTTGTGGTATCGTTAGGATATTTATATAGTACTGGCGTCACATTCACCGAGCAATACTTGTGGTATCGTTAGGATATTTATATAGTACTGGCGTCACATTCACCGAGGAAGACTTGTGATATCGGTAGGATATTTATATAGTCCTGGCGTCACATTCACCGAGCAGTACTTGTGATATCGTTAGGATATTTATATAGTCCTGGCGTCACATTCACCGAGCAGTACTTGTGATATCGTTAGGATATTTATATAGTCCTGGCGTCACATTCACCGAGCAATACTTGTGATATCTTTAGGATATTTATATAGTACTGGCCTCACATTCCCCGAGCCATACTTGTGATATCGTTAGGATATTTATATAGCAGCGGGAGGATGCATATGTGGTTTCATTTCCTGCACTATCCCATCATTATAAATGCTTTTAATAACAAAATGTGTATGAAGTCAAGCAAATACAATAAAAAAATATGACAATATGTCATACTTGGTGTCTCTCAAACCTCATCGAAAACGAAAAATTTCGCTATCAGAAATAAAAACAAACATTAGTTTGTGACATGATGCATCAGAGAAAATGTTTCACTGGCGTCACATTCGCTGAGCAATACTTGTGATATCGTTAGGATATTTATCTAGTACTGGCGTCACATTCACCGAGCAATACTTGTGGTATCGTTAGGATATTTATATAGTACTGGCGTCACATTCACCGAGGAAGACTTGTGATATCGGTAGGATATTTATATAGTCCTGGCGTCACATTCACCGACCAATACTTGTGATATCGTTAGGATATTTATATAGTCCTTGCGTCACATTCACCGAGCAATACTTGTGATATCGTTAGGATATTTATATAGCAGTGGGAGGATGCATATGTGGTTTCATTTCCTGCACTATCCCATCATTATAAATGCTTTTAATAACAAAATGTGTTCCATTATTTATAGTCGAAAATATTAAAAAAAAAAAAAATGCATACCAAGTACAACTCACCGTCTTGAAGTTCTGTGTAGAAATTATAGACAGTTATATACTCTCCTGGTATACCCTGACCCCCAATCACGTAACCCTCCTCGTACGTGGTATTTAAGGGCGGCACTCCCCGGGGCCGGAATACCCCTGACAGGTTAGTGATGGTACACTGCTGCAGAAACCGGTTCACCTCGTACATCTTCTTCTGTAAGACGACGTCCGTTTGATAGGAGTAAAAGCCAATGGTATTATTTTATTTTATTGTTTACATTTTGATAACACTCTCCTTGATTTTCAGAGGTTTATCTTTAAGTGGTTTCAACTATAAGTATATTGTATTTTTATTAAGACATCGAAATATCACATATAAAGAGCAATACTGCTAAGTCTTAAGAGATTTAGAGTAACATACATTCCTCCTTTCAATTAATTTCCGATTTGTTAAAAAACCGTGTACCTCTTTCCAGAGAATGAGTGTGTCGATATGATCATGTTCTGCTGCCACATCAACTTCCGCCGACCGGTACTCCCTCTGGTTAACCGCATCGTAACTAAGATTACGCCACTCTGTATATCTCAGCATGACGTTTTGCTAAAATAATGAATTATATAAACATATTGTCTTATTTCTATGCCAAAATCGAATTATTGAAATTGCGGTTCGAAATTTGTAAAGTATTCAAAAAACAATTGTGTTTCAAAATATCGGATTAAAACGTGTTTGTACTATGACTGGTTCAGTCAAAATATATCACAAACACAAATCTTGGTTTTCTATTGCTGTGTAAACTACAGTAGTCTGAAAATGGAGAATTTCACAAAGAAAATCAAAACGCATGTAAATGATTAAAAACTTCCACTTGAAAAAAAGGTATAAAACCTTTGTTTCGGAAGACAATATAAAGCAAACAGATATTAACCCATGCTTTATTTCGGGAGAACCTATAGATTACTTAACTTATTTGCACAGTATTCTGTTCTAACTTGCACTATAGAATACAATACTAATATATTCCATTGTTTTATTTTGAAGGTACTGTGGAACACTATCAGGATCTAGCCGTGGTCTATTGAGGTAGGAACTCCTGAACTATAAACCGACACTTTTACCTCTTTTATTTTAGGTAATATTAAGTACGTTGATGATATATACCACTATACTGTTTTGTAAGGTACTTTTTGATACCCTGATGATATATACCACTATACTGTTTTGTAAGGTACAATTTGATACTTTGAAGATATATACCACTATACTGTTTTGTAAGGTACTATTTGATACGTTGATGGTATATACCACTGTACTGTTTTGTAAGGTACTATTTGATACTTTGTTGATATATACCACTATACTGTTTTGTAATGTACTATTTGATACTTTGATGATATATACAACTATACCCACTATACTGTTTTGTAAGGTACAATTTGATTCTTTGAAGATATATACCACTATTCTGTTTTGTAAGGTACTATTTGATACGTTGATGATATATACCACTATACTGCTTTGTAAGGTACTATTTGATACGTTGATGATATATACCTCTGTACTGTTTTGTAAGGTACTTTTTGATACTTTGATGATATATACCACTATACCGTTTTGTAAGGTACTATTTGATACTTTGATGATATATACCACTATACCGTTTTGTAAGGTACTATTTGATACTTTGTTGATATATACCACTATACTGTTTTGTAAGGTACTTTTTGATACTTTGATGATATATACCACTATACCGTTTTGTAAGGTACTATTTGATACTTTGATGGTATATACCACTATACTGTTTTGTAAGGTACAATTTGATTCTTTGAAGATATATACCACTATTCTGTTTTGTAAGGTACTATTTGATACGTTGATGATATATAACACTATACTGTTTTGTAAGGTACTATTGGATACTTTGATGATATATACCACTATACCGTTTTGTAAGGTACTATTTGATACTTTGATGATATATACAACTATACCCACTATACTGTTTTGTAAGGTACAATTTGATACTTTGAAGGTATATACCACTATACTGTTTTGTAAGGTAATATTTGATACGTTGATGATATATACCACTATACTGCTTTGTAAGGTACTATTTGATACGTTGATGGTATATACCACTGTACTGTTTTGTAAGGTCCGATTTGATACGTTGATGATATATACCACTATACTGCTTTGTAAGGTACTATTTGATACGTTGATGCTCTATACCACTATACTGTTTTGTAAGGTACTTTTTGATACTTTGATGATATATACCACTGTACTGTTTTGTAAGGTACTATTCGATACTTTGATGATCTATACCACTATACTGTTTTGTAAGCCACTATTTGTTACTTTGATGATCTATACCACTATACTGTTTTGTAAGGTACTATTGGATACTTTGATGATATATACCACTATACCGTTTTGTAAGGTACTATTTGATACTTTGATGGTATATACCACTATACTGTTTTGTAAGGAACTATTTGATACTTTGATGATATATACCACTTTACTGTTTTGTAAGGTACTATTTGATACGTTGATGATATATACCTCTGTACTGTTTTGTAAGGTACTTTTTGATACCCTGATGATATATACCACTGTACTGTTTTGTAAGGTACTTTTTGATACTTTGATGATATATACCACTATACCGTTTTGTAAGGTACTATTTGATACTTTGATGGTATATACCACTATACTGTTTTGTAAGGTACAATTTGATTCTTTGAAGATATATACCACTATTCTGTTTTGTAAGGTACTATTTGATACGTTGATGGTATATACCACTGTACTGTTTTGTAAGGTCCGATTTGATACGTTGATGATATATACCACTGTACTGTTTTGTAAGGCACTATTTGATTCTTTGATGATATATACCACTATCCTGTTTTGTAAGGTACTATTTGATACTTTGATGGTATATACCACTATACTGTTTTGTAAGGTACTTTTTGATACTTTGATGATATATACCACTATACCGTTTTGTAAGGTACTATTTGATACTTTGATGATATATACAACTATACCCACTATACTGTTTTGTAAGGTACAATTTGATTCTTTGAAGATATATACCACTATTCTGTTTTGTAAGGTACAATTTGATACTTTGAAGATATATACCTCTATACTGTTTTGTAAGGTACTATTTGATACTTTGATGATATATACAACTATACTGTTTTGAATTTATTATGAAATGCCAAACATATTGGGAGACCTTTATGTATAAATTTAGTTCGCACAGGTATACTTTTACTCGTATTGAATGTTGTTGTCTAGATTATTTATATCATATTAATGAATAAAGTGTATGCAAAGATTACAGCTTTAACAGTGCTGAACCAATAGGAATTGTCTGGTTATCTTGAACAAAGTGTAATTTACATTTGATATAAAGCTTTTCCTCTCGACACTTACCATGTACACCTGTGCCTCCCACTGTGGCGGGGAGTCTGTAGAGAGAAAACAAACCAGACAGTAGTTTACTGCCAGTCGCCCTTCACTATAACATGTCGAGTATGATAATATATGTCATAACATAGTAAAATTGTCCAGAGCTCTCAGTTTATTAAAGCTAATCTCCTAAACACATAATAGCGGCTTAGAACGTATCCTATATATCCGAAATGGTTAATCAATTTCGAACGATCATTCGTTTTGCAAACAAATGTGTCAATTGTTTTAAATTGATGCTTCTGCAGAATAATTTTTCAGAATCGTCCGTAAACCCATCAGCAGAAGTTCGAAGTAAGGAAGCGGCTTTTTAAAACTAGTCGATCTGTAATCTTAACAAAGAGAACATTAAAACAGCACCATAAGCATGGCTATTTCGTCCCTTTAGGACTGTTTTCATTAGTTTTACTGACTGTGTCGGCTTATACGGATCACCCCGTCGGTGTCGGCATCGTCCGTCCACAAAAATGGTTTCAGTGACAAAGGAAAGTTTTGAACTTCATGTCCCTCTGAAGGTCCGGGGGCAATCATTCACTGATATGGGACCCCCTGCAAAACCAATACTTTTATTCTGTGTTTTCTGCTCATGTGACAGTAACGAGAACAAATCTGCTGCCGCCATTGCCACACTTTGGATCTGAGTGTTTTACTATCTCTTTTACCAACTGAAGGTTTCTAGATGATCTTTTGAAGGAATCATAAGATAACGATAAAACGTGCATAATTAAACTTTCTTTCAAAGTCCCTCGCTCTTGCTTGATACGCTATCAAATTCATCATTATTAAAAGATGCTGATGCGATCGGATGAATATTAAAACCAGTAAAGTTATTGCATCTCATTCTTTCATCATGGGTTAATTGCCATCAATCATTGTTCTTGCTGTGGCAGGCAACACGTCCACAGCCATGGAATTCCTGTTATACCTTATATGATGATCTCCCGTTATCAGGCCGTAACACAAATGTGCCCTACTTCCACAGAAATATAGTACTAGATGGTATGTACTTTTGTAATATAAATGTTCCTTCTTTTACAGAACGATAGAACAACATGAAATGTACTTTGAAATGTCAATTGATTTTCTCTTAAAACCTTTGATCATTTCAATGACTCAGGTAATTAAAATGATTTGAGTGTTATCATTTTTGGAGTGTTTTTATGTGTGTACTTCTTAAATGTGTAATTAAACTTAATTATACCCACGGAAAAAATAGGAGGGGGGGGGGGGGGGGGGGGGGGATGTCAAACGGGGTGTCCGTCCGTCCGTCCCTAGTGCTTGTCCGGAAGATAACTTTTACAAATTTCAAACAATGAGTGTGGGTTGCAGTAGTAGATGTGAAAAAGAAACCTATTGAGTTTGGTTCGCCTGAGGTCAAGGTCACTGTTGCTAAAAAATATAATAATAAAACTTGGTTAGTTTGTTCAGATAACTTGAGAACGAATAATTATACAAAAATATTAAGTGGGGTGTAAGTTGTCTTAGTGGATGAAATCACGTTCTTGATGATCGATTTGGTGCGCCAGAGGTCAAGGTCATTGTTGCTAAAAAAAATCAGCTTGGTTGGGCTTGCCGGATGATAACTTGAAAACGAATGATTTTACAATGTTCTAATTTCGCGTGTAGCTTGCAGAAGTAGATGTAAAGACATTATTGATTACTTGAGAACGAATGATCATACAAAATTCTAACTTGATGTGCATGTTGCCTAAGTTGGTGTAAAGAACCATAGAGTACGCCAAAAATACATTACACTGCATTATACAGCTTGTATTGTACAGGTTATCTATACAAACAATAATATTAGAATGATTCCATAAAAACATGACATATTTATATGTATCATTCTTATATTGAAAAAACCCAACGCGAACGACATAACAAATTATTCCAAATATATCATGTTAGCGTCAATCCAACTACCTTGTTTAACTGTAGAGATAAGGTGATGTAGATAATTACCATTGCAAATATCAAAAAAGGCTTGAAAAATAAAATCAATCATGACAACATTTTTTTTTAATAAGGTCATGTGACAACAGTATCCATGGATTATGATGAGTCCACATAAGGACCATTTTAAAGTGTCAACATACTGACTGGACTTTTAAAACCTGGACACTGTAGAATTACCCTAAAAACACAACAGAAAGCATAAACTCTTGAAAAGGAAACATAAGGGTATGGAGCTGTCCCCAGTAATAGAGGTACAGCTACGAAAGGTGTCCACGTCAATGTATTCAACCTAATGTTTTGATAATAAGTGAATATGTATGAAATCTGAACAATTCCCACATATCAAGTGTCATTAAAGTCGTTTTTGAGAAGATCTACTCAATGCAGTAGTACTTACGACACGGAAGTGGGTCTCCGGCTCTTCCATAAATATGTAAAATACTCACACAGTTAACCAGTGACACGAGCAATGTCTTCATCTTTAGTTAATGAAACGCTAAAGGAAATGCGTAACCGGGCTGTACTACGCATGCGATGACGAGGGAAAATAAGGGGGGTGTTAAGTGAAATATTTCTCCATGTTCAGGGTTGTTTTGTTTAAAATTTATGAATGAATTTATAAATGTCTATATTAAAAACGAAAAATTTGACAATACAATATTCAACATTTTGCTTGGTATCTTCACAATTCTGGAACCCATCGAGCCTCAAAACCTTGACCTCGGGTATCAATTGACAGACAAAGCTCCGGGTTATAAACATGTCTAACAGAAACGGCTCACGCCCCTTGCTCCAGATACTACTCTGCTGAGAGGCATGGTGGGCTCTGACACAGTCCGTATTGTAAATAACAAAACTGCAGCCAATATTTTGATGTTTAATCGAACACTCAAACACGATTTGCCTGATTGGATGATTTTAAAAGTTGTGGACAAATGTATTAGAAATTGACCTTAGTTACATGAATTTGTTTTTAAGATTACTCCTATGCCAGAATGAGGATTTGTCAAACTACTCCAAAATGATATCGAACAAACGACATTAAGTTTGCCCTCAAATGAATAAATAGTGAATATTGTTACGCACATGCCATTGTCACAACCCTACAAACAGACATGTACACGTAAGTAGGACAAACATAACTTAGCTTGTTTTGACTGCTTGTGGTTTGATGTTACTAGAAAGTATGAATTCTGGTTCCCATGTTTCATCATTTGTTTTGGAGTATTCCATCTTTTCAACATTATCATCATTTATTACCATATTACATAAATGTGGAAGATTGTCTTTTCAACATTATAATCATTTATTACCATATTAGATAAATGTGGAAGATTGTCTTTTCAACATTATCATCATTTATTACCATATTACATAAATGTGGAAGATTGTCTTTTCAACATTATCATCATTTATTACCATATTACATAAATGTGGAAGATTGTCTTTTCAACATTATCATCATTTATTACCATATTACATAAATGTGGAAGATTGTCTTTTCAACATTATCATCATTTATTACCATATTACATAAATGTGGAAGATTGTCTTTTCAACATTATCATCATTTATTACCATATTACATAAATGTGGAAGATTGTCTTTTCAACATTATCATCATTTATTACCATATTACATAAATGTGGAAGATTGTCTTTTCAACATTATCATCATTTATTACCATATTACATAAATGTGGAAGATTGTCTTTTCAACATTATCATCATTTATGACTTTTTTTACTTTGACTAGTAATGATTTCTAAACCGCAAATTGAATGAAATCTTAATTTCTTAAAATGGTGTCACACATATGCAGCTTCAATCGCTTGTGGTTTGAAGAAAAATATTATACAATATATGCGATTAAATCTAAAATGTTTTTGTGCAGCCAAGAAAAGCCGGCCGTAGAGAGGACGCTCCTCGTCACCAGAGTAGCCCACCGTAGAGAGGACGCTCCTTGTCACCAGAGTAGCCCACCGTATAGAGGACGCTCCTCGTCACCAGAGTAGCCGACCGTAGAGAGGACGCTCCTCGTCACCAGAGTAGCCGGCCGGAGAGAGGACGCTCCACGTTACCAGAGTAGCCGGCCATAGAGAGGACGCTCCACGTTACCAGAGAAGCCGGCCGTAGAGAGGACGCTCCTCGTCACCAGAGAAGCCGGCCGTAGAGAGGACGCTCCTCGTCACCAGAGAAGCCGGCCGTAGAAAGGACGCTGCTCGTCACCAGAGTAACCGGCCGTAGAGAGGACGCTCCTCGTCACCAGAGAAGCCGGCCGTAGAGAGGACGCTCCTCGTCACCAGAGAAGCCGGCCGTAGAGAGGACGCTGCTCGTCACCAGAGAAGCCGACCGTAGAGAGGACGCTCCTCGTCACTCTATTCAGTACACACACACAGTCACATTGTATAAAAGGAAATCAGCGTTATTTTGATACATTTACTTGCGATCAAACTTTTACTCTGTAGGTCTGACATCACAAGAAACAATATACTTGTCGTTACCCTCTGTATGATTCTAAAGGAGGCACGGTAGTCTAGTTGTAGGACGCCGGGCTCGTGACCGGGTTGCGGGTTCGAGTCACGGCACGGCACTGTGTTGTATCTTTGAGCAAGATACTTTACTCCCCTTGTTCCAGTCTACTCAGCTATAAATGAGTACGTTGGGCAGTGCTAGCATTGTTGAATGGCTGTATGGTCCCCAGGGAGTTGAGAAAGGTATTGGCTGGTTGCAAAGGGTTTTTAACCACGGATAATAATTTGTGAATCGCTTTGAGACGACCTACGAACTAGGTTGTGATAAAGAGGTATATAAGAACCTCGAATTATTATTATTATTATTATTATTATTAAAGTGAGACAAACGTATGAGCCTCACTTTTCAACCGATTGAAGAATTGGGGATTTGGTATGTGTCCTCTACTTGGCGACACAAAAGGGACAGAAATTTATCAGCTGTACCAATTCCGTCATTTGTGATCCTTTTATGTATTTTTTTCGTTTCTTACAAGACAATTCGTCGCTTTTAGCCTTGCCTATTGGTTGCCAACATGCTGTAATCGGGGACCTAGAGGTTCGATGAACCGATAGTTGTGATGGATAGGTACAACTACACCCGCCAATTCAAGAAGGAGGGGCCGTCATAATTTGAATAGGGATGATCGACTACCAGCAAGTATCAAGTCATTCTTACGTTAAAACTAGAAAGTTCACTCGATGGTTTTGGTGAAAATGATAATTATGTGTTGTATTGCTCAGTCGTTGTAAGCAATGTGGACGTCGGGAGTAATTTGCCGCCATCGAAATGGAATATATCTGTAATCTTCTACATGTACATCTGATACTGGCCATCAATAGTAACCAAACTTCAATCAAAATTAACCGGAATACGATTATTCATATCATCCTACACATACGTTGCAGAGTTGTTCAACCTGTTGTCATTATAATGTGACCCGACGGAGTGCTGTGCTAGGTTCCTTTGACATGGTATTTCAGTGAGTCAGCACTATAATGTCACCATCAGATCCGCGTTATTGTAAGAACGTAAGTATACCAACATACCCTGCCTCCAGCACACATACACACGTACACGTACACATTACACACATGTAGGCACGTCCATAATTACCTTAGCTGTTAATATGATGCTTAACCTAATAAACCAATCGAGGAACGAATAATTTCAACTAAAAATATTTCATGTTTTCCTATATGTTAGAGCGGATTAAATTAATTTCTTGTCCGAGTACATGATGTGAAAACAAGACTTACAATCGGTGACCATGTTTTCTCACAATATGGGACCTAACATTTGATATAAACTTCAAACTTTGAAAAGAGTTGTTCAATAACTGATCCATGATAATGTTTTACTACAATATCATGTTGACATAGACTCTAATACGTTCACCATATAAACAAATGGAATCCAAGCAGGCGAGTTTCTGATAAGATACAAAATGTTACTGGAGTTGAAGTTCTTTTGCAAAACAGAAATGCGCTCCCGTCTGGTCAGCTGTTTTAACAGTGATGAAAGTAGTTTGTTTGGTTTTGTATGAAATAGGTGTTGTTTTTCTAAGAAACAAAGTATCAATTTACGAACCAATACTATCCTAATATGTGCAATAATCGTGTTGGTATAGTGGGGTTTCACAGGTTTACATCTCCTCCACAGCTAAAGCCACATAAAGACTGGTGTCCACAGATGATGGGGCCACGTCAAGTGCTATCTCACAGAGTTGTGTCACAGGATCATTGTAAGATTTCGGACGTTTTGGTGTTAAATATACCGGATACTTGTAAGATCACCTTCTCAGTATACTGGAAAATTATCAGATTACAACAGATAGTTGTGTGTTAACAATACCTGTACAACGAATACCTGTGTGTTCGCAATATAGGTACAACGAATACTTGTGTGTTCGCAATATATGTACAACAAATACCTGTGTGTTCGCAATATATGTACAACGAATACTTGTGTGTACAACGAATACTTGTGTGTACGCATTACCTGTACAACGAATACCTGTGTGTTCGCAATATAGGTACAACGAATACTTGTGTGTTCGCAATATATATACAACGAATACTTGTGTGTTCGCAATATATGTACAACGGATACTTGTGTGTACAACGAATACTTGTGTGTACGCATTACCTGTACAACGAATACCTGTGTGTTCGCAATATAGGTACAACGAATACTTGTGTGTTCGCAATATATATACAACGAATACTTGTGTGTTCGCAATATATGTACAACGGATACTTGTGTGTACAACGAATACTTGTGTGTACAACGAATACTTGTGTGTACGCAATATCTGTACAACGGATATTTGTCTTTTCGCAATGTCTGTACAACGGATAGTTGTGTGTTTGCAATATATGTACAACGAATACTTGTGTGCACGCAATATCTGTACAACTGATAGTTGTGTGTACGCAATATCTGTACAACGGATATTTGTCTTTTCGCAATATCTGTATACAACGGATAGTTGTGTGTTTGCAATATATGTACAACGAATACTTGTGTGTTCGCAATATCTGTACAACGAATACAACGGAACATTTGATATTTGTGTGAGCAACGCCACGATACACAGAATACTTGTTTTATCTCTGCCACGATACAGAGAGGGGATGCTTATGATAAGTCTTTATTCTTAAGGTTACTTATGCTATCTTTCTATGTCCACATGTCGCGGGACCTGTACTGATATATCTGCCTTCCACTGTCATACCTTAGATAGCACATGTCAACATGACTAGGCACAGGAGGGCGGATATCCTAGGGTATAATATCGGTCATAGACAAACAGATTGATAGCATATCTGTAAATTATAAAAAGTTCGGTAAGATATGAGATTGAAATATGATGCTTAAAAACATACTTGATTTACTTATTTCATTTGTAGAAAAAACCCGGAAGAGGTTTATGGTGAAGGTACCTATTAAAACCACATGTTCCTCGTTTAAGTTAATGTCAATCATCCAATCGGGGGTAGGG